GGCTCCAGAGCACTGGGAATTGGGGGGTCCTATTCGTGAAGCGAGTCATTTGGGCGAAGATCACGATGCTGCACCAGTTTTACGAACAGTGAATAAAAGGTATCATGTGATAACATATACAGTTATTGTGCATCCTCTTTTGACACGTTTTTGCTATAATAGGCGGATCCAGGCGTCCAAAAAGGGGGGTTATGTTTTACCTCCCAACATAGGTGCCCTTACACCGCCTATGCATTACCAATACAATTTTAGTCGTTCTCTCATAAGAAAATTATAACATAACAAGACCATTACCACCCTTTTTTGAAACAGTACCAACAAAAACCTTATTTACTATACTTTTTGTGTACCCCCAATCTCAATGATCTGTATCCGCCTATGATTTTTGAAAATGCATATTTTTAGGATCCATGTGAATTCCTGGTTCATTCTCTATCGATCGGCAAAAGTTGCGTTAAGATTGGTTCAGAAACCTGGCCGTGATAAACAGTCTAAAATGTATCTGCAATTTGCCCGTTTTTACCCCCCTCTACCCCCCTATTGACATTTCTTAATTTTTATTTTTTAGAAATGTAGATCACGTTGAGCGAAATCGAATGCCGTTTGAATTTTGAAAATCGGCCCGTTAGATCTCGAGATATCAAGGGGGGGTCGTAAACAGCCCCCCCCCCCTGCCACTAATAGGGGGTAGCCAGGAGCCTGCCACTAATAGGGTTAAGGATAGCCAACCGGGTTTCATCGTTCGAGAGAGTGCTACTTGGGCTCTTAGGCCTTGTTGTGGGCCACAATCAGCAGTCCAGCGCCGGCCGTGAGGACGCAGTACTCTGCCGCGCCGGCCTCCACGTGAGGAGCCCGGCCTGACCTATCGGTGACACCAGCAGCCACGACCAGGTGCCGATACTGGCAACTCTCCAGAGCCGGAGGAAGTATTTAATCCCTGCGACACTGTTTATGGAAATGAGCTGGAGCCGCTGATGGCATAATTAGCCCGCCGCAAACGGGCACTGCGAATCAGTGACAGGTGGTGGACAGGGCGCAGTTGTCGATGGTTTATCGGTATCCGGTACCCCGTCCCTGTCAATTCAACTGACGGAGAACATTGCGCACTTCTTGATTGCAATATTCCAGAGGTGGGCGAGCGTTTGCCTGATCTGCATGCTTTGTCTGATGGAAGTGGTTTTAATAGCGCTGGGCTAGGGAGGAGAGACGCTTGATGAGTTTGCTGCTTTTCTGGGTAGAGAGCCTTGCATCCGTAATGGTTTGTGGTATAGAGTGTCAAACTGTAGCGAACACGTTCTTATGAAGGTGAAGTGTCGTTTCTTTGGTGCGCGGTAGCACATCCCGGCCCAGCTGAGACAACACATCCGCAGTTCGACTGAGGATACCCGTGTGTGTGCTACTGTGGCTCGTGGCAGCCCCTCTCGGTCCGACTGAGGAGGCTCGTGTGTGCCACTGTGGCTCGCGGCAGCCCCTCCCTCACCGACTGCCGCTCGCTGGCCGCCGTCCCGCGGCGCGTGTTCACCCGTCGGTCGGTCGTCGCGCCTTCGGCAGCTGTGTTATCGTAGCTCCGCGTCGACAGGCCGCCCGGGCCCGTCCGCGCGCCGGGACGTCCGCCTGCTCACGGAGCTGATTGAGCTGTTAAGACACGTGTCACCAGTGTGTCACAGAGGTCGGCATCGGGAATGTTTGGGTCAAGTGAAGCGTGCAATCCTTTGTGCCGCTGAGTGGCCTGCAGCGCGACGGGACGGGCGTGCTACATGCACCGGCGACAGTGTTCAGATGGCTTCTAATCGCTACGTGCTTGTCTTGGATGGAGTACAAGCACAACCGTACCAGCTGTTGGTCGTATGTTTGCCAATGACTGGCAAATGCCGACTTGTTCACTATTAGGATCCTACGCGCCACTGATTACGAATATAGGTAATGATACAAAATGCTGTTAGACCGTAGACGGTATGGGCATGTTCGAGCCTCGGGATTGATAGCCTCTACCCTCCGTTTTTTTTGCATCAATTCTTTTGAACATATTATTTTGTTTGGTGTACTTAACGTCATCACTATTTGCCAGGCTATGATTTTTGAATAGTAGAATACTAGGGTGACCCGCGTGCTCCGCAACGCGAAAAGGGATATTTTCGATCGGCGGGTGTTCGGTTGTTCTTGTGTCGGTCGGGTTATCTATCCATTTCGGTCGATTGCTTTTTGACGGCTAAACGTTTTGGTTTGTGGAAAAAATATCCACCGCATCGAGGTGCCCGTGTCTGATAAGCATGCTTTCCACTTCAGAATCTGTCAAATGTGCTTTATAATTTAGGCGCGTAGTTTCATGACAAATTAAAGGCGTAGATAATTTTCACTAAAAATCGTTTTGCAGAGGTTTGAAACATTTATATTTTTAAGAATACTGTTGCTTGTCATGCAAACGTGATATTTGGATCTTGGAGAGAATTGAATGCTCTTTCCAATGATAGCATTTTCAATTGTCAAACGTATCAGGTTAAGCAGCAAAATCCGTGTAATTATTTAGTGGCACATTTTGGACAACTACCATTTAATTCAGCGATTTTTTCCACATTGTTTTTGATCAATTAGCTTTTCACAATTTTTCCATGAGAGACGGTACATTTTTATTGCTAATAGGCGCTGCTTCAACTCATTCCGTCTGACGATCACCTGAAATTAATATAAATTCCAAAATCCGTCCAAAACGTCCATTTTTCAAAAGAAAGTGCCCTCCCCGGTGCACGTGGCGCGTGCCAACCCCTGCACCGCACACCATTCGATAGGCCGTTCGATTCTCTACACGATGCTGTTTTCCCCGTACCGGTCGGGCCCACGGTTACCGAGATATTGCACCGGGACCGGACCCGTGTCGGGCAAATTTAGCCATTTTCGCCCGTTTTTGCAAGCCGATTTATACATGTAAAGTCTATGACGCGAATTTGCACTTTTCGGGCCCGCGCCACGCGCTCGCTATCGATCCGACCGAGCCGAGACCGCTCAAAGGCACGTTGTCCATCCTTGTTCTATAACTTGCGCAAATTTCAGTGCGGTAGGTGCAACGGTGTGATCTGTAACCCGCGCTACGTAGCACCATGTCGCGACCTCGGTTACAGACAGAAACTACGTCACCTCAAATAGTAATATAGATGCAACAATAATTGCCCGAAATCAATGCGTGCTTTCCGGTAATAAAGCTTCCCGCTCATTTCTAAAATTAGGGTAGCCTGGGGGCAAGACGCCCAGATAATTCATTTTCCTAAATAACTTTTGTCCCACGTCACCTGGAAGGCTAAATTTGTGCTCAGGATCAACTCGCCGGCGGGATCACCGTGAGCAGCGGCCTCCCGTCTGAGCCGACTGGGTCCCTCCACCTGATCCTGTTGTCTGTTCCCGGGCCAGCCCCGTGTGACGGTCCGTGACGGTCTGACGCCGTCGGCACGTCCCTATCAGCGCGGCTGACCGGGGTGACGGCCACTGACAGTCAGCGGGTCCATCAACCTCGCCTGTGCCCCTGTCATCTGTACCCCTGTCAGCCGCGCCTGCACCCCTGTCACCTGTCGTGTTCAACCGCCTGGACATGGGAGCAGCTCCAGCAACTACAGTTCGGCCGACAGCCAACCTCTGATCTTACTATCGACACCTAATTATTCGTTTATATTTTCCTTCAATAGTGATCGTCACCATTAGAAGGCTGAATGTGCCCCTAGACTAGTGCAATTGGGAGCGGCACAGCAAATAAAATGATACACAATAGAATATGTGTATTGTTACAATGTGTCACGTCGGTGGTTTTGTCCTGTGTTTTTCTACACGGCCCAGTGGCTGTCACGGCTACCGTCCCCGCCGTATGACCCTCATACAGCGGACATACCCTGCACGTCGAAGGCGGCGCGGCGGCGGCGGCGGCGGTGGGGGCGTGGCCTGGCGCGCGCGCCGCCGCCATTGGCTGCCGGCCCGCCGCGGGCGGGGTCGTGCACGACACTGTGCAATCGGTCACCGTCCGTGCACGCCGCGTCCGCATCCGTCACCGGGCAGCTCCGACGGACCGGGAGAGACGCGGGACCGCGCCGGCCGGCCGGCCCATGTTCCGATAGGGAGAGGAGTGGGCGCCCTCCTTCGCATGATAAGACCTTCTCCTGTACCCACGAGGGGAGCCACTGTCCGTTTCTTCACATGGGGGATCGCATTGTTTAGACGTTTCCCTTCTCTATGCAGAAATACAGCTCTTGGGTTACTCCATCTCTACATTGAAACGCGACGGCCTACGGTACACACTTGAGGATCACGCTGCCCCGTGCACCAACGACTGCATTGCGTCTTCTCTTTGAAACACGATTCGACATCACGGAAAGATAGACTTCTGCGCACATAATCTTTTCCGAAGTGCCTCTGTTCATAGCCATTGCTTTTAGTAATTTCATTGAAGAGTTCCACGCCGATGACCTCTGATGCACGGCCACCCTAAAATCATTTCGCAGATCACGTGCATGTAATTTTCGATTTGATACTGCCCTTGTCACACTGTACACATACTGCAGCCATGGACATGCTTCTATCCTTCCATCCAACGTTTACATCAAGCAAAAATGTAAACCTGAGTCAGGTTGCACCTTGCAGTGTCACGTAAAACTGCAGTCTGCAGAGATGAATGAGACTGCATTTTGTGTGTTGCAGTGCACAAACCATTTTAGGACGATGGGATTAGTTTGACCCGAAAACTTCTCTGACTTTTATTCGTAAGTGTGCCTTGGCTTGTCAGTTATTATCCTACAAACATTTCAATTTATGTGTGTTTAAATTATAGCTATTGCTGCTCTTTTCTGAAGTTGCCATTATCTCGCTTAATGTGTATTTTTCCCTCACAAATAATGCTGAATTGTCGCCAATTGACCAGCATGTGCTACTCGCATGCTGGTGATCGTGCTCGTCCGCTATTCCACGCCAGTGAGAGGAACAGTAACTGACGTTTGTTTTCTCTCTTTTCATGTGCTGTGCAGGACTTCATCACGGTGAGTACCTCACGCTGTCACGAGAGCTCCCTGCACGAGAGCTCCCTGCACGAGAGCTCCCTGCACGAGAGCTCCCTGCACGAGAGCTCCCTGCACGAGAGCTCCCTGACACACTTTGCCTCGTGTTGTCAGGAGAGTGCCTCATGCACACCGGCTCACGGTGTCGCAGGGTACCCCGCACGCAACTTCCTACCTGGCTCCAGCGGCGGGAAGCGTCTCGTTGGGTCCATCTTTATTTATTTGTAAATGTATCATGTCTTGTTGTTGCTATTCCATCTCTTGTGGATATCCAGTTTCACACATTGTCGGTATTGGTCCCACGTTCGACGTTCTGCTGGGTGCCCCGCTCCTAACGGATAACTATCTTCCCGTCACCGGTGTCACGGTTGCTATCTAACTACATACAATATTGCCATTTGTTCCCAATACTTTATGCTGCGCCACCGATGGTGACAATGCTGTTGTCCGTCTTTTCTCTTCATGATTGTTCTGTTTCCCAATGGTTGACTCACTTTCTCGGTCTCAATGGCTATATTCATTATCATTACCCAATACTCAATGCTCATTCACCGAGCGAGATTTCTTGGAAGATTTCTTCCCTTCTCCTTTAAAATATACCATTTGTTTCCTTCATTTGTTTTGGGAAATTTATAATTGTGTGGAAATATATCTTGCGCTTACATTGCTAAACGATACATTTAATTTTTAACAAACTAAATGGGGTCACTAAGTCAGATCTGAACGCGTTCTCTAAAAAATGTAAAAGACGCCCCGAAACACGCTCCAAAGCCGCTCCATCTTTTTTTATAATTACGGTGCAAGCGAAGCGAGCGGAGTCACGTAGAATAACGGAAATTTCTGAGTATGAGCGGCCGGCCGGCCGGCCAGCTATGGTCACGCTTTTACGAGGCTTATATCTCAGCAACCACTTGACCGATTTGCATGCGGTAATTTTTATAGGGTAGCTTCATTCCTTCTTAAAAGTATTGAACTATTCCCGATGCATGTGGGTGACTCCTTATGCACGTGCCACTTGCAAAACGAAGAGGTGTCAGTTTTGTAATCGTTGCAATATCTCGGTAACTACTTGGCCGATTACGCTGGAATTTGGCATGTAGCTGGCACCTACTAGGCAATGCATTGATATCCATGTGCCAGAGTTAGGGTGCTGCTGCACGTGTGCACGTGCAGGGGTCGTTTCCAGATCTCGAGAACGGCTGGACTGATGGCGCTCAAATTTGGTACACGATTAGGGAGCAGTTAGTAGGGTGCCGTGCACAAGTCAGTTGGGACCCATTTTGCACGTGCGCACGTGCAAGGTGCCGCTTCCAGATCTCGAGAACGGCTGGGCCGATTGTGCTCAAAGTTGGCACATCGCTAGAGACCGGTTAGTAGGGTGCCGTGCACAAGTCAGTTGGAGATACCCCCTCGAAATTTCGCACGTGCATGGCTTACCCTCTCGCTCGCTCCGTTAGTCGCCCCAAAAGGCGTTTTACTGGTGAATAGAAGACATCATTTTAGAAGACAGCATTTTTTGGATGTTTAAAGTTCATATGACCAACGTCACATTTAATGGAAATAGGAAGCCTGATAGTGGTTTGCTTCCTGACGTTTTTCGTCTTCGATTTCTTGATGCGTTGAAAATAGCAGTTGTAGGTTATTTATCCGTTCTGCTGAGATTACTCCTGTTTACGTGTAATGACAATTGATTTAATCTAGCGAATTCAAATTAATTTTTGGGCTTTGGCTCATGAGAATGGGGTAAAAATTTGTCGGAAATCAGCAATTATATTTTTTTGTGCCGATTGTTTTCTATCATCGCAGAAAATTAGGAGGTGGTTGTGGAAGGATCCAGTGGCGCAGCCAGGATTTCGTTTCGGGGGGGTCATCGCCTCCAAAGCGGGCCCCCTAGTGTACGGGCCCCCCACCCATTTTTCAGAATCTCTCCATATTTCATACGCATTCTGCTGAGCGGGCCCCCTTTACCTGCACGATAACCCTGAGCGAGTTTGAATCAGAAAATTTGGATAGAACAATAGCTCGGTAGTTAATCACCCGGTGTTCAATTTTTACGCAAATTGACCACCACAGAAATATGTTACTATGACGTATGTATTCGTATCTTTCGAGGCCGAAATGTGCCCTTTCCGCAATATGTATAGCATATAATGCAATCAGAACTGTTGCCTGCTTCTGTCGGACAAAGCATTGTGCCTTTATTCTTCTTCATTACGTGAATTCGCTCACAAGAAGTTTTAACCCTCGCCGGCACATGGGGAGGGGTTGATGCAACCCCCCTAAGGTTTTTTTTTCGCGAATAACTCGCGTTAAAAGCGGCTGGTCGCGACGTAACTTTCAGTACCCTCGCGTTCATCAATTTTACACCTACCCTAGAAATTTAATGACCCTTACCCAAATGAACTTTGAGCTGTGACCTACTTTCCGAGACCATGTTTGGCCAGAATCGCGGTTCGGCATATGCCGGCTCGCATTAGCCGCGCATTTGCAGTCCTTTCGTGGATTCCAGCGTTCAAACATGTGATTTGATGATGCTCCCATGCATAAGGGTGGATGTCAACGTCACCTGAAGGTCAGGTCAGGTCACTGACCTATGATGACCTCGGTACACTTTTTTCAATTTATGCATGTTTCTAGGCTAGCTTTTTTGGAACTGAATTCCAATTTAACAACCATTTGAACATTTAAGAAGTAGTTCTGGTGCCTTCGTAACATGTTACAAAGCTGTCAGAGGCGGTTGACAGGTAGGTAGGTACTACGAATACCCGGCGGGACCACTACTGGTTGACCTGACCTGACCTGACCCGACCTGGCCTAACTGCATAAAGACATCATCTGTGATCAAAACTGACATAATATTCGTGATCAGCACCCCGACAAAAAACCTATAGCAGCCACATTTTACGACGTTCTAACAGGTCCCGATTTTCCCGACATTTGGGTCATTGACCTGACCTGGAAGGTCAACCAGTGACCTAGGACCTTGGAATTGGGTATTATCGGCTTCCTCTCGTCACGGGCAACACGCTCGTTTTTTTTCCGCGAAGCTCTAGCTCGATCATACGCCAAACGCGAGGAAGGGGGTCGTACCCTCCCTCCCTTGTGCCGTCGAAGGACGCAAAATGGCCTGAGCCGGCGAGGGTTAACGTGCTCACATGGGTCATGTATTGCCTTGGGCCAGGTTTGAATTGTGGTGTGGTGATGTGGTGACGTAGATTCTGTCTGTCACCGTGGTCCCGGCATGGTGTTACTTATCCCGGGGTAGGTACAGGCCAGACCGTTGCACCTACGTTAGTGCGCTGAACTTTGCGCAACTTATAGAACAAGGATGGGGAACGTGCCTGTGAGGGGTCTCAGCTCGATCGGGCTGGTGGTGAGCACATGGCGCGTGCTCAATAAGTGCAAACTCGCGTCATAGACTTTACAGGCTTGCAAAATTGGGCGAAAATGGCTAAATTTGACCGACACGGGTCCGGTCCCCGTGCAGTATCTCGGTAACCGTGGGTCCGATCGGCATGGGGAACAATGAGGATCGAACGGGCTATCGAATGGTGAGCGGTGCAGGGATGGCACGCGCCACGTGCACCCGTGAGGGCACTTATGCTTGAAAAATTGACGTTTCGGACGGATTTTGGACTTAATGCTATTTTCGGGTGACTGTCAGACGGAGCGGGTTTATTAACCCGCTTTGATTAAACCCGCATTGATTAAAACACCGCATTGATTAAAAACAATGTGGAACAAATCGCTGGAGAAAATGGTTTTTGTTCATGACTTACTTAATTACACGGCATTTGCTGCATAACCTGATACGTTTGACAATTAAAAATGGCATCGTTGGAAAGAGCATTCAATTTTTTCCAAGATCCAATCATCGCTTTTGCAAGACGAGCAACAGTATTCTTAAAAAGATAAATTTTCAAACCTCTACATGACAATTCATCTATGGCTCTCATTTTTCAATGACCTACGTCAACCTATGCTATAAAATACACTTGACAAGTTCTGTAGTAGACGTATGGTTATCAGACACGAGCATCTCGATGCGATGGATGTTTTTTTCCAAACCAAAATGCTTAGCCGTCAAAAGACAACCGACCGAAATGTATACATGACCCACGGACACAAGACCAACCAAACGCCCACCGATCGAAAATATCCCTTATTCGCGTTGCGGAGCAAGCGGGTCACCCCATCCACCCGGAGGGCCCGGGCCCCATCCACAGGGGGCTGGTTCCCGTCCACACGAGGGCCCGGGCTCCGTTCACCCGGGGCTCCGGGCCCCGTCCACCCGGGGCTCCGGGGCCCGTCCATCAGAGGGCCCGGGCCCCGTTCTCCCGGGGCCCGGGTCCAATCCACCCGGGGCCCGGGCCCCGTTCTCCCGGGGGTCCGGGCCCCGTCCACCCGGGCCCCGACCCCATCCACCTGGGGCCCGGGCCCCGTCCACCCGAGGGTCCGGGCCCCGTTCTCCCGGGGCCCGGGTCCAATCCACCCGGGGCCCGGGCCCCGTCCACCCAGGGCCGGACCCCATCCACCCGGGGCCCGGGCCCCGTTCTCCCGGGGACCCGGCCCCATCCACCCGGGGGCCCGGGCCCCATTCACCCGAGGGCCCGGGCCCTATCCCCACGGGGGCCCGGGCCACGTCCACCTGGGCTCCGAGTCCGGGCCCCGTTCTCCCGGGGGCCCGGGCCCCGTCCACCCGGGGCCCGTACTCCCGGGGCCCGAACCCATCCACCGGGGGCCCGGGCCCCGTCCACCCGGGGGTCCGGGCCCCATCCACCCGCAGTCTGGGCCCCGTCCACCCGGGGCCCGGGCCCGTTCTCCCGAGGGCCTGGGCCCCATCCACCGGGGGGTCCGGGCCCCGTCCACCCGGGGCTCGGGGCCCGTTCTCCCGGGGGCCCGGGCTCCGTCCACCCGGGGCTCCGGGGCCCGTTCTCCCGGGGGCCCGGGCTCCGTCCACCCGGGGCTCCGGGGCCCGTTCTCCCGGGGGCCCGGACCCATCCACCGGGGCCCTCAGGCCTACCCCTCACCCGTGATGTCCCAGTACCTAGGCACTTTACTTTTCGAAGCGGACCCGTCCGATTATGTAGATTAGGATCTCTCTCTCTCTCTCTCTCTCTCTCTCTCTCTCTCTCTCTCTCTCTCTCTCTCTCTCTCTCTCTCTCTCTCTCTCTCTCTCTCTCTCTCTCTCTCTCTCTCTCTCTCTCTCTCTCTCTCTCTCTCTCTCCTTTCTCGAGCGGGCCCCTGACAGAAATTTCGGGGGGGTCAGCTGACCCTCTGACCCCCCCCCCCTGGCTGCGCCACTGGAAGGATCATAATGCAGCATTTCACCTTAAAGCGACTTCAATGGCCTATAGGCATTGAAGCCGCTATTTGTGAACTATAGTTCACAATAGCGACCACGTGTTCCCTCGCCGTTCACCGTTAAATCCATGTCCGCTTCAGTCTTCCGTTTTCTTCGGTGTGATTAATTTCCGTGTATTCCAATACTGGCACATGACTAAACCAACAAACCGTGTGTTCAGTACCATGTTTCTTCCGATTCACGCCTGATGCCTGAGGTGCAGCTTACAATGTTAACACCCGTGTCGTCCGTTATCATTGATGGCTGCAGGCTCTTAGCATGCATATTTAGGATCCTGGACGGTTGTAACCCGTGTCATTGTGCATTATTTCGCCGTTTGGCCACTCTATCGCAGTCCCACTGGGCTTCTTTGCATTGCAGCTTGAAGCATTGTCATTATGTCATAATGGTGTGCCATTGCAATCACAAAAGACGGGCGAAAGTCGTGACTGTGGTGCTAGAAAAATCGGCGTGAAAATCGCTGTCACTCGACCCGTAATGGCCGGCGTACCAGCCAGCTGCAGAGGGGTCCGCTGCATAGATCTCAGCGGGAACAAAGGACCGTCGTTACGATCTGCTCGGCTGTGATAGTGCGATCTACCGATATGGAATGATCACCGCTCAGCCCAGCCAGTTGTACAGAACGTGATTTATACCGGCTGCCTCGGAGCACGCGTTCTGTGAAGTGATACTGACTGCGCTGAGGATTGATGAGCATCTCATCTTACTTTTGTTATAGTATTTGTCAAAATTGATGTTTTTTTTTTTGTTCAATGAAACTTTATTGTTTATTTATAGACGTTTATTGACTGAAAGTGAAGGAAAGACTCCGAAGCAGTTGCCCTCGGGCCTTATGGACAACGAAACATTGCATTGCACAATGCACAGTAAGGTGAATATGAGTTACAACGTAAACGTGCCGAGGTGTTCAAACTGACACAAAGTAATATGGTGTCCCCTCCCCAACTATGGTTGAACTGTGTCGTTCCCAGTCAGCCACCCAGGACTCCGAACCCATCATCGCGCGAGTCCGGCGTCTTCTCTGCAATCTCGATCTGTCTGCATTCTTCAACAGGCAACGACGGGATCAGCGTCAGCATGTTCCGCACCTTCTTTTGGGGCATGGGTCACGTCCTGTTGGACATAGTCAACTCCAGCCTGACGACCAGCAACGTGCCCGGCCCCTGGAAACATGCAATGGTAACGCCAATCCCAAAAGGACAAGGACCATCGGAGCCAGCAAACACTCGCCCGATCTCCATCCTGCCGGCGATAATGAAGGTTGTTGAGCGGGTCGTCCAGCGCCAGCTGGTGCAGTACTTGGAGGCCAACCAGCTCCTGTCAACCACCCAACATGGCTACCGCAGCGGCCGCAGCACCGAGACGGCACTCAGCGTCATCACCGACCGTGCGCTGGAGGCGATGGACGCTGGAGAGGTGTCGATCCTGGTGCTGTTGGACCTCTCCAAATGTTTTGACGTTGTGCCGCACGGGAGACTGCTGGATAAGCTCGCACTGTATGGGGTAGATACCGAGTGGTTCGGCAACTACCTAAGCGGACACACTCAGCAGGTGCAGATGGCCAGTGGTGACGGTGGATACGTGCGGTCGAGTGTCAAGTCAAACACAATTGGCGTGTTCCAAGGCGGATCGTTAAGTTGTATGTTGTATTCGGTGTTTGCAAACGAAATGTGTCTGTACCTGCCTGACGGTGTCACAATCGTGCAATATGCAGACGATACTCAACTTCTTGTGAGCGGTAAAAAGCGTGACTTGGCACAGGTCATCCAACGCATGGAGCAGGCGCTAGAGTGTCTCTTCCAGTGGTTCTGCGCAAACACTATGAAGCTAAACACCGCTAAGACGCAGGTCCTTGTACTAGGAACCCCCGCTATGCTGCGAGGACTGCCGCCTGTCACACTGACTGCCATGGGTGCTGTTATTCCGGACTCTAGAGTTGTCAAAAATCTCGGAGTGGTCATGGACAATCATCTCAGCTTCAGGTCGCACATCGATTATGTGACAGCTAAGTGTACTGGTGTCCTAATCGGTCTGATGCACGCCAAGCACGTTATACCGAAGGCCTCTCTGCCTGTGGTAGTAGAAGCGCTCGTGAACTCCGTTATCAGATATTGCTTCTCGCTATACGGTACGTGCACCGCTACTCAGATTCATCGTGTGCAGAAACTGCTGAACTTCGGTGCTCGAGTTATTAGCGGCCGTCGTAAATACGACCACATCAGTGACGTTCTGTGCGACTTGGAGTGGTTGAATGCCCCTAACCTTGCTAAGTACCATCGCATCAGTTTGGTGCACAGGGTCACTACGACTGGAAAGCCGGAAGCGATCGCACAAACCATCGGTGACACCCTGCGTCACTCGTACGAGACGCGCAGAGCTGCCGACCACGCGCTGCCGAGAATCCGCACGGAAGCCGGTCGCCGGCGGCTCTGTTATAGCGCAGTGCGTGAGTACGACTCTCTGCCGTTTGACGTCACCGTGCGAAACTTTCGGCGCCAGCTCAAAAAGCATCTATTGAAAGAACAGTGTGAGGCGCATGGTTAGCTCAGGTCGAGTGGTTGAGTGCTGCTTTTTATGCCTGGTCTTTTACTTGTGTTGTAAATGTTTGACGTGTGCCAATGAAAAACCATGCACCATGGATTTGTCATGAATATATTATCTGTATCTGTATCTGTATCTGCCCCCAAAATGCAATCTGCTCCGCTCGCCCAGACGCGCTGTTTACTGCCCCGTTAGCGCCGCGCCGGGCCCCCGGCCGACCGCCGTCTTCGGGGCCCGTGCAGCGACGCGCGCCCTGCACTGGCGTCTGCAAGATTAATGCCCGAGATGCGGCGCCGGAGCGGGGACACGGTTTTCGCATTTGGCCGGCCGGGCCCGGATTAGGCTACCGTCTCGGCGCCGGACTGTTTTTCCCACTCGGCGGTGGGGACGCGCCGATGCTCTCTGACTCCGCTCTGGTCCCGCTGCCCGCTCTGAATCCGCTCCGACTCCGCTCTGACTCTTCTGACTCTGCTCTGGTCCCGCTGCCCCGCTCTGCAATGCCGCTCTGACCCCGCTATGATGCCGCTGCTCCGCTCTGACTCCGCTTTGGTCCCGCTGCCCCGCTCTTGTACCGCACTGACTCTAATATGGTTCGCTCTGAGCCTCTGCCGGTTGTGCCCGCTCACCGGACTGGATGCTGGTTCCGCTCTGTGGCCTTCCTCCGTCGCTGCCCCCGCAGCTACAAAGTACTCTTGCATTGCACTTCCTCGGCGGTCACTAGCGATTTTCTCACACCACATCCACGTACTGTAAATTCAATTTTCATCATACCTGATACCAGATATCATATTTTGCATTACAAAGATATCCCAAACCTCCTTAATGCAAAAAAAGATGAAATTGCGAAGCAAGGAAGTCCTGCAAATCAGCTAAAGTTATTTGGACAAAACGCCCATTTGTGGGGCAAAATGGCAACAGGCCCCACCAACTGTATAAGAAGCTCCGCCCCTGCCAGTGCCCATCCTGCCCAGTGATATGTCATCTTCCTGTTCCGTTTCCTTCCCCGCCGGTTTCTCTGCGTAGTTTCTGCAGTCTCCTTTCAGCCCGACTTGGTTCGTCCTGCCGAGATTAGCCAGTACGAACACGTGCTCGTGGCGTCGTGACGCCGGTCTTTGGCGACAAAAGGCCAGATTTCGTAGTTAACTGTACCAGTACATGTCGCCCGTCCCCTTCCGGCGACATTTGGACGGATTTGTCCGGCCGCGCGCGGCTAAAGCGGAGGACTACACGTCCCGTACGGCCCACTCCTGGAAAGGCGTGTCCGACCGGTATGAGCCGATCCGGCCATTGTCTGCCGGCGCTGGCCCCCAAATCCAAACATTTACATAGGGCTGAGCCTCCGCCGGGCGCTGTGACGTGACTGGCGACAACATGGCAGCGGGGTCGTTACTCGTCGTTACATCGTTACGGGCCGACAGGCAAGCCCCGCCCCTGCACGCGACTGGGACCAACATGGCAGCGTGGCAGACCGTCGGACTGGCCGGCAGCGACCCTCGGGGAGGGACGGTGGTACTGTTCGGACTTCCGTCCATACCAGTCACTTCAGAAACAGACCTAGTTGGAAGGGTGGATGAAGTGCATTATTTCTTCCCAGTCACAGCCCCAGGAGCACTCATTGGAACTCAGTTGCGTGCCAGGGGTCAGTTGTCCATTTATGCCTTTCCCACGGGCCACGGGGTCATGGGCTTATTATAAGCTGTGATGGCACTAGCTGATATAATAGCTCTGCAGAAGTGCAACGTCTCTTTTGTATTACATGGAAACACGGATTTGACTATGATCTGTTGTCTTGCTGAGCTGTCGCATCTCAGACTCAGAAAATGTCTGAATTTGGGGACGCTGGAGTGAGTTGGTGTTTGTTTGTTTTTTGTCTTTTAGTTCCCTGAAATTCGCATCCAGAATATGCGTTTGTGCCCTCGATAACTCGCAAGCAGTAAGGGTTGAATGGTATACTCATTAGCTGTGAAAAATTAACGTCCGGCTGCCTAAGAATGCATACGTCTACTCTCTATCATGTATTTGGCTCGTGTCAATTTACGCAATCATTACTCGTTCCATTGATAACTTTTCTTTCTAAATAAAACAGCCGAGTTACCTATTGCAGTATCACGTTTACAAACGGCCTGCCACTTACGGCCTATCGTGCGGCGATCGATCCATCTTCACGGTGCTGTCACGGCGACACGGCGCTGCGGACGGCGGCGTTCCGTGATGGGCGCCGTTATCGTCTCACGATGCCCGGATTATCGCCGGACCGCGGCCGGCCGTGTAGGTCATGCATTATTGCCGCGCCGAGGCTCGGCAGTGTGCCGTGCACGAGAGGTCAGCGCGTCGTGTCGCCGTCCGCCCCCTGTCCGTGCGGCCCGCCTGGGCTGTCCCGATGTCTCGCTGTCCGCCCGCCCGCCTTGTCCGGCTGTCTGCCCGCCTGTCCTGCCCGCCCCGCTGTCAGTCGCTGGCTGTCCGCTGAGGGCCGTCAGTGACCATTCAGCGGCTATGTTCGGTATTTGGTGCTACCAACCATCACCTGGCTACTGATGGCAGATCGGTGTCGGTTTCATCGCGACCACATTCCGTTTACGGCCCAATGAAACTGGCACGTGTGCCGTGCGGCGGCGCCCCCGGCACGCGGCGCTCGTCGAATGCGACCGTTCATGACGCTCGGGGACTCGTCAGGTGACAGCGCCGCTCTTGTATGTGTTTAATTGAACGATGTCAAACTGAGTGCCGGCGGAAGGTATTTGATAAGGGCGGGGCGCTTTGATGGCTGGTGATGGGTAATAAGGCCTCGGACAATGCCATTAGGCGGAGCCGCCCACTACTCGCCCAATAGGCGTTACATTTAATGAAACAAGCGTCTGAATACGCGGCTCTAATGGCCATGCCTCATATTAATGATGTTGTCTCCCTTTTTGTTCCATGTTGCACGTGGCTGTCATCTGACCGTCATCTGACCGTCTTCATCGCCGTCATCTCATCGTCATCGGGTGCCTTTCGACCGTCATTCTGCTGCCATCATTAGGGCGTGAGTATACATTACAAGTGTGTCTGCAATGAAACACTATTGATTGAAAACTAGCCGCTGAACCACTATTGAAAATTGTTGATAGTTTTAGTGAAGCCACATACCTACCATCTGCCGCATAGTTTTTACTTTCTGAATAACTGCGTTGGTAACATGAAATGTAATCTCCTATCTACCTATTGTCTTTTCTAATTACCGATACCGTGACCGTTACGTTTGTGTATGTTTTACGTCTGTATGTTGTCCTTACGGTGACACAGCACACGTTTTGTTCTGAATTGTTTGTGTATCTCGCCGGCCTCTGGTGGGCCGGTCCCGTGCCCACCAGCCCCCCGTCCTCGGCCGGTATCCGTCTGTTCTCTGATAAAGTGGGCCGTCTGTACAAAGGCCCCGACCGACCGACAGGGTTCCGCCGTCTCTGGACGGGCCCTTCCGACAAAGCAGGCCGTTTTTCTCAGAACACACGCGGTTTTTCTTGGACTCTGAAGGGTAGTGCGTCATGTCATGTCATGGTCGCTGACTCTACTGTGTCCTCTTTTTCATGTGGTGTGGCCGCTCTCCTCCAGTATGTAAGTACACTTCGTGTCATATTATCTCTCTACTCCAGAACCCTGTATTCTTATGTTCCGGTACAGTATGTCTGGAGGCACGGTGCCTGTCATGCTGTTTTGTAGCCTTTGTGTTATCATGTTGATGAATACCTTGGTGCCTTCTTCTTTTTTTTTCGGGCAATGGTGTTCCGTGCAGAGCAATCTTGATTTGGATCATTTATGGTTTCACAACCGTTGACACTAAAGGAGCAATTTTATGTACGTAACTATCCAACATTCGTTTGTCATTCTTAGCTCAGCTTAACCCGGACAGATGCATTTGACATTCGACCTCTCTCCTAATGTTCACGTTCCCAGCAGCTGTAGTGCTGGTTTTGTCCCACGCGCAGTTGTCCCACAACTACTCTGACAGTTATTAGACACCTGTCACATCGCGGCACATACTCGGGGCGCGGAGTGGTGTGTTC